CCCTCACTTCTTCAGATGCAAGGAGTGTCTTGCATCTGAAGAAGTGAGGGTCTTACCCACGAAAGCTTATGCTCCCTATACTTCTGTTAGTCTCAAAGGTGCCACAGGACCCTCTGTTGCTTAGTAATAGGATGAAATTTAATAGTGAGAAGTGTAAGGTGATGCATTTAGGGATGACTAACAAGAATTTTAGTTATAAGCTGGGGACGCATCGTTTGGAAGTAACGGAAGAGGAGAAGGACCTCGGAGTCCTGGTTGATCGCAGGATGACTATGAGTCGGCAATGTGACATGGCCATGAAAAAAGCTAATGTGGTCCTGGGATGCATTAGGCGAGGTATTTCTAGTAGGGATAAGGAGGTGCTGGTTCCCTTATACAAGGCACTGATGAGACCTCATTTGGAGTACTGTGTGCAGTTCTGGTCTCCCATGTTTAAAAAGGATGAATACAAACTGGAACGGGTACAGAGAAGGGCACTAGGATGATCCGAGGAATGGAAAACCTGTCGTATGAAAGGAGACTCGAGGAGCTCGGTTTGTTTACCTTAACCAAAAGAAGGCTGAGGGGGGATATGATTGCTCTCTTTAAATATATCAGAGGGATAAATACCAGGGAGGGAGAGGAATTATTTCAGCTCAGTACTAATGTGGACACGAGAACAAATGGATATAAACTGGCCGTCGGGAAGTTTAGGCTTGAAATTAGACGAAGGTTTCTAACCATCAGAGGGGTGAAGTTCTGGAACAGCCTTCCGAGGGAAACAGTGGGGGCGAAAGACCTCTCTGGCTTTAAGATTAAGCTTGATAAGTTTATGGAGGGGATGGTTTGATGGGATAACGTGATTTTAGTCAATAGGTCAATAACGTGCCATTGCTGGTAATTAGTAACAATGGTCAATGATGGGACATTAAAAGTTACTACAGAGAACTTTTTTCCAGAGGGTCCGGCTGGAGAATCTTGCTCGCATGCTCGGGGTTCAGCTGATCGCCATATTTGGGGTCGGGAAGGAATTTTCCTCCAGGGTAGATTGGCAGAGGCCCTGGAGGTTTTTCGCCTTCCTCCACAGCATGGGGCAGGGGTCGCTTGTGGAGGATTCTCTGCGACTTGAAGTCTTTAAATCATGATTTGGGGACTTCAACAGCTGAGTCAAGGGAGAGAATTATTCCAGGAGTGGGTGGATCAGCTTTTGTGGCCTGCATCATGCGGGAGGTCAGACTAGATGATCATAATGGTCCCTTCTGACCTTAAAGACTATGAGTCTATGAGAGACACCACCCCGACTCAGGTACCTCAAGAGGGGGAGTCTGGAAGTAGCTTGGGGGCAGCCGACCCTAGTCTGGCTGCAGCACTGCCAGAACCCATGTCAGTGTGTTGCAGCCAGGATCCCCTCTGATGCAGCAGCGGGTCTTGGGCCACTGCTAGGGCCCCGGGCTGGGATGCAGTGGAGTGGGTGGGCCTGCATCCCCCCTGCCACCCAATTCGTGGGTGGCAGTCTCCCCCTCTCCCTGGCCCTTTGGAACCTAGGGCCTGGGCCTACTGCTTATATACTGTTGTTGCTCAGCCCCTGCCTGAGGGCCTGAGCGCCTGACTCACCATTGCTCCGCCCTGACCTAGGGCCTGGGCTTACTGTGTTTATTTCTGCCCTCACAAAGGCTGCAGAGGAAGACTCCCGCGGCTGAACTAATTCCCCACAAGACCTCTTCCCGAGTTTAATGAGGCAGTGTGGTTCCCTGCCGCCCTGGAGAGAGACGAGCCCCAGCTAACCTCTCTACAGTCCCCATAACGAGTGGCACCGGTGGTGATCCTGGGAAACTGGAGTGTCTAAGGGAATTGCTTGTATGACTTCTGGTTAGCCAGTGGGGTGAGACTGAAGTCCTCTCTGTTTGGCTGGTTTGGTGTGCCTTAGAGGTGGAGAACCACAAGCCTGGGGCTGTGACTGCCCTGCTCTAAGCAATTTGTCCTGAATTGGTACTCTCAGTTGTATCCCACCAAAGCAGCATTGTTACACAAGTACTCGGCTGAGCCTTCAAGGGTTAACACGTTGTTAATGTAGCCTCACACTCTACAAGGCAGCAGGAATGGAGGGAGGGGAGTCAGCTGTTGGAAGAAGAACAGGCTGACCCAGAGGCGGATTTGAGTAGATGGGCTTCTTTCAGGGCCAGCTCCAGGCACCAGCGGAGCAAGCTCATGCTTGGGGCGGCAGATTCCAAGGGGCGGCATTCCATCTAATCCTTTTCTTTCTTTTTTTGTGTTTCACCGCTTTGGCCGCCCCTGCAGGTTTTTTCTTTTTGGTTTGCTGCTCCCGCCGCCCTGTAGGGGGTGGAAGAGGGGAGCGCCCTGCAGCAAGCCAGGAGGGCACTCCGCGTCCTTCCCTGCCTGCCAACTGGAGTGGCGCGGAGCCCTCCCAGCAGGAGGCACCCATGGAGGGGCCGCATGGCAGCGCCCCATTTAAGGAAGCTCTGGGGTCCCCCTTTCTCTCTCTCCCCCCGGCTAGCCGGGGTGCACACTCCGTTGCCTGGGGTCTGCAGGGCCGGGAGTCCCTCTGCACCCACGCTTCCACCGCCCCACAGGTATTTTGTTTTTGTTTTTTCTTTCCTTCACTGCTCTGGCCAGCCAGTTTGTTTCCCGCCCCTTCCCCGCTCCGGCCAGGGGCAGGTTTGTTTCCCGCCCCCACATCTTCGCCGCTCCGGCCGGCCAGTTTGTCCCCCCATCTTTTGCTGCTCCAGCCGTCAGGTTTGTTCTTCCCCCCCACACCCTCTGCTGCTCCGGCCGGGGGCAGGTTTGTTTTCCTCCTTCCCTCTCCTCCCCCCCCCCACTTTGCTGCTCCGGCTGGCCCAGCGTTTTTTGCTTGGGGTGGCAAAAAAGGCAGAGCCGGCCCTGGCTTCTTTATTACGGTACTTGTTCCCCTGGACCCAATTGTCCAGTAAGCACTGGATTAGTTACATCATACTCTTTTTATCTACATCAGTATGTAAATTCCTACATTTATTACAACACCCCCAAAACCCTTATGGAGTAATATGAACACCCATACAATGAATATTAATAACCCTATACTGAATATAATTATCCCCGTCCCTGATTACTATTTACCTTATTAGCATATTCTACCGATAAGTTTTACTTTGAAGATACACTTTTCTGCTATAATTGCAGTCATGAACTCCTTGGATCAGCAGTTTGCAGGGGAGGGAGAAAGGGGCCATGACTCTAACCTCGCCTGTGAAGCTGGGAAAGAAAGGGGGAGGGAGATAACACTACTTTACCCCAAAAGGCATCCTTTTGGTTCCCACGTTCCTCAGGTATCTGCAACGTTATCAAACCCTTAAAAGGAGAAGAGAGGGGAGAGGGGTAGCCCTAAATCTATTAAACACAGAGAAATACCTACATTTTATCTATCAGGCACAGAAGTGGTGCTTGCCTGTGCCTTTACTCCCTAATGCCATCTCTGCTCACCAGCAGTTTCCCAGTTTTCTGCTTTAACCCTTACATATCCCAACAACAGCATGGCAGAGAGAGACAGAGACACACACCGTGTGTAGGAGAGAGAGACGCACATTGTCCCTTTAAGTACACTGACCCTACCCAAAGTACACTGCCTTTTTAAGTAGATCAGCAAGTTGAGACAGCAGCTTCTGCCAGAAAGCTCCCTCCATCCTGAGCCCTGTGGTGTCCCCATACTGCTCCATTGAGATAAAGTACAGGAGCGGGGGGGGGGAGAAGCGGAAGAAGGGAGGGGGACACCCTGGCATTAGCACCCCTCTTCCCCACCCTCTGCAGAGCAAGCAGGAGGCTCCCGGGAGCAGCTCCAAGGCAGAGGGCAGGAGCAGCACATGACAGTGCGGGAAGGGACAGCTGAACTGCCCAGCAATTGGTAGCCTGCTGGGCGGCTGCTGCACGGGGAACTTAGGGGAGGAGGGAGCTGACAAGGGGGCTGCCGGTCCACCCTGGTTCCAAGCCCCCACCAGCTAGCTCCAACGGGCTGCTCTTCCAGCAAGCAGTGGACAAAGCAGGTGGCTGCCAAACAACGTTGTAAGGGAGCATTGCACAACTTTAAAGGAGCCTGTTCTCTAATTGATCAGCCACATAACAGGGAAACAATGTTAACCAGGACAACTTTAAGGGAGGAGTTACTGTAGTATGTTTGGGGTGTGAATGTGGAGTGAGTAAGGTTTGTTTTGTAATCAATAAAGAGCATTTAGAGTATTATATACCAACACTGTGTCCGGTGTCTGCTTGCTCCCCATCCCGTAGGGAGACTTCTATTGTGGGTCTAACAGTGCTTTGCAGGAGCTGCTACTGAACAATCCCTCATTGCTGCGAGATGACTAGCACTGAAGAGCTGATTCTGGAGGTGAATGCAAGCAAGTGTGTGGCCATCCAGATAGCCAACAACACCAGAGACGTGACCCTCAAGAACCCCAGGTAAGCAGGTTCCCATAGTCCCCTCCACGCGACTTCCCAAGTCAGTCTGCGGCTGGTGTCTATACAGATGTGCCAGGGTGTGGGGTATGGGTCTGCTACTGAATATCTGTCTATCAGTCCCCATACATCCCATCTATCTATCTCTCCCCTGAGAGTCCCCGGGGTCTCTCCCTTGGCCCCACCTGACGCCCGCACACGCCTCCCCTTGGTGTCCCTGACTGTGCCCTGGACAGCGGGCGGCTGCCCCCTGCAGCTCCCCACTGTGCTCCGCTCTGCCAGCTCCGGCATCAACTGCTGCCGCAGGGTCCTAGCGCCCCCCCCACCACTAGTGCCAGGGAAGGCTGACCTTGACCCTGCCCTTCCACCTGAGATGGACGAACCCTTCCCTTTTCCAGTGGGACCCTCCACCAGCACAGGAGGACCCCCCCTCCCGTAGTCACCGCTCCTGCCCCACGCTGGGCAAGGGGCAGCCCCATCCCCCACCCCCAGTGAGGCTAGAGTGAGGGGCAACAGCAGGGGAGGAGGTGCACATGTGAAGGCTGCCCCCCACCCAACACAGGGGAGGTGACGGGGCTTACTGGACCTGAGAGGACCTAGGAGCACGTGCAATGACAGTGGTGCAAGGTGAGTGTGCTGCCAGAGGGATGAGGGGAGCCCCTCCCCCGCAACTCACTGCTGCCAGCGGGGAGAGGGCTGGGGGGAGTCCTCCTCTCTGACCCCAGCCGGGGGCAGCCTGCCTGCACCCCAAACTCCTCACCCCTGGCCCTGCCCCATCCGAGAGACCGCATCCCTAGCCAGAGCTGTCACCTTCCCCGCACCCCAACCCACTGCCCCAGCCCTGAGGCCCCCCAAACCGTGAACTGCTGATCCATGGCCCCACCCCACAGCCCTCACCCCCACACTCCAATCCTCTGCCCGATCCCTTCCCACACCCCCAAACCCATCATCCCCATCCCCATCCCAGAACCCTCACATTTTTACATTATTTTAAAAAGATATATATATATATATTGGCTTACAAGGTGTGTGGGGGGCGGGACTTGGACGTGTTCTGAGCACCATCAAAAATTATACAAACCTGCCACCCTTGTATGTGTCCAGGAGTAGGGTTGGGGGTGTTTGGAGGGAAATCACACTTTTGTTGGGGAGAGGGGGGAGGGAGAAGAAGGAAATGTTTCCCTGGCCAGATAATTTGAAAGGAAACAGATGCTGGAAGCCTCTTGAGAGGTTAGAAAGTCTGACTAAGTCCCAGGGAGATGGACTGGGGGCAGGTGATGTTGCGATAAGCCTGTGATGTAATGTAAAGGTGTTCAATGTATTTATTTCACATTGATACCACCTCCACATTACATATATGTTCTGTCATGTACACTCACAGGTTTACACCCACACATAGTTATACAAACATGTACACACACATACACTCATACACAGCTGTGTGATGTGTGTGTCTGTCTGTGTAAGTCTCTGAACGCTTTCGTTAATAACATAATGTGCAGGACCATGTAACGCTTTCAGGGTTGCCAGATTTCTACTGCATTAATAGTCCAAAGTCATTTAAATACTAGCCCCAAAATAGCCCAATATATTTATTGAAACAAAGTTGTTGTTTTTATTAACCCATTGGTCTGTACATCAAATAACAGAGGAAAGCTTTCATTAGATACCCAGTAAAGATTTGATTTTTTTTAAAAAGCTACAAGCCCCAGCTGATCTTCATCCACATTAGCAAGAAAGCTGTGAGAAAACAATCAAATTCAAAATCAAACCCCTGAGGGGAATTTTGACAGGAAGGTCACTCCACCAAGCGGCCCCCACCTCAACCATATTAAATTCCCCTTGACAGTCAGATCATTACACAACCAGTCCAGATGAGACCCCCTACAAAAACCATGTCAGCCAGTGACCCCCACTAAAAATCCTTCCACCCAGAGTCCCCTACACCCTAGGGAAACCCAGAACTGCAATATATGCTGTGTCACCCAGACTCCACCTTCTTTCCCCCCAAGTCAACACTCTGATGCCCAGAGCTTCCTGTCACCCAGTAAAAACCCAGAGCCACCCAAGAGACACCCTGCCACCTAGAGCCCCCCCTCGCCCAGCTCTGGCATGTGCAGCCCCAGAGGGGCAGCTCTGGCTCCTCCCCCTGCCTTAGATCCAGCCTGGTTGCTGCTATCTCTGAGGCCGGAGGTCTCCTTGCCCAGTCCTGGAGTCTGCAGGAAGCTGCTAGGCTCCAGCCCCTCAGCCCACACTCTGCAGCAGGCACTCCCACCAGGAAGGCTGCAGCTGTGTGAGCGGGGAGCAGGGCAATGGGGGAGGCAGAACCCAGCCCAGGTCAGGTCGGAGGGTAGGGGCCAGCCCTTATCTCCCCTATCTAATGCCTTGGTCATGCAGGAACGACCCCTCTGCCCTGGGGGCTGGCCGTGGTGGGGCTGTGCTGTCTTGTCCAGCAACCTGTATGTCCCCTCTGCAGAAGAGCGGTTGGTCTGTGACCCACTCCAGCCCCAAGGGTCAGGATTCCCCTGCTGCTGGGATGCAGTTATTAATTATTGTTAGGGATGTTGTGTAATAAAAGAACCCCGTGGTGTTTTCCTCCAGGACTTACTGTTTCAGCGGCTGGGTCAGGATAGACCCTGTGCCCCTCATTCCCCCCGGCTCTTCGGGGACCAGCATTTTTGTGAAAACAAGCGATACGGCTTGCGGGAGCGTTGGGGTGCTGAGCTACGAGTCCGACACTTTCACCCTGGCCATCATGTTCTCCGTCCCCTACAACCGCTTGCAGTACTACAATGAGTTTGCCATCGAGCTCTTTGCTGGCAGGAAGCACTTCGACAGCATGGAGCACCTCTACCACTACATGTACAATGACGGCCCTCCCTATCCGTGTGACTCCTACAGGAAAGTGCAGGTCAAGGACCCATATGGCCAGCTGGAGGTGACCAACGAGAAGATCCAGGTGGAGGCCACCATGTCCAACCAGAATAAGTCCATCATTAAAGTGCAGATCAAGGAAAAAGATCCCCACCCCAATGTGACAGAAAAATGGGGCTGCTGGCAGAAAATAGTGAAATTCTTTTTCCGAGTTTGAGTAGACAGTGATGTGCTAGCTCTGCTGGAGTTAGTCAGTAAAAATGGCCAGAGCGTTGTGGGTGGTGAGAAGAGCTAGCCACCCAAGTGCACTTTCACCTGACCTACTTGGTATGTAGTCGGGCGTCTAGCCTGAGCTGCTGCCCATGCCACAGTGTCCTCACTGCTATTTTTAGTGCACTAGGGAGGGATAGCTCAGTGGTTTAAGCATTGGCCTGCTAAACACAGGGTTGCGAGTTATATCCTTGAGGGGGCCATTTAGGGATTGGGGTGGAGAAATTCTTTGGGATTGGTCCTCCTTTGAGCAGGGGGTTGGACTAGATAACCTTCTGAGGTCCCTTTTAACCCTAATATTCTATGTCTGTCTACTCAGGCTGGGCAGTATACAGGCCTCCAGAGTTTTATCATCATTTTATAAAAAAGTTTTTTTTTTGCTTATTTTTTAACCTCTGAAATAACAGGTGTTGCCATATGAAGACCTGAAGCTTAAGCATTTATCATGGTGATAAAACTCCCAGAAAGCTTTGCAAAAAATAATGCTAAAAAAGATAACAGAGAATTATTAGCAAATAAGAGCTACACTTCTTGTAAGTGGAAATATGTTTAAGAGCATGACTTTTAGGTATAGTTGTATAAGGTTGTTTTTAATTGCATGTGTGCTTGCTAGGTAAAATATAATTGGCTAAGCAACTTAAATAAAAGTTACAAATTATAATGGAAACAAAAAGAAAAGGATAAGTAGATAAGATCATAACATAAGAATATAAGAATGGCCATACTGCATCTGCCCAATGGTCCATCTAGCCCAATGCCAGACGCTTCAGAGGGAATGAACAGAACAGGGCAATTTCAAGTGATCCATCCCCTGTTGTCTGGTCCCAGCTTCTGGCAGTCAGAGGTTTAGGGATACCCGGGTACCATCTTGACTAGTAACTGTGATGGGTCCCCCAATCGCCTGGCAACGAGTTTCACAGGTTGTGTGTATGTTGCATGTTTGAATCTCAGTCTCTACTGTTGTTAAATAATTATTCTCTGACACCTCCATAATTTCCTGCAACTGTTAAAATTTAAATTGATAAAAATAGAAAAAAAATGCTTAAAAATAAACATCGATATTATCCACTGAAATTAAAAGAAACCCTCGAGTTCTGCCAAGTCTATCTATGTACCGTTTCTGTCTCTCTAGCTACGCAGTCACCACAGTAGCTAGACTGTCCTACGGGGGTGCTGCTAGCGACTCCATCCTTATTGTTCCACTTACAGCAGGGCTAAAATCCCCACTGCCACGACTGAAGTTAGGCTCCAAATGTGGCCCAGTAACAACCCTGTAAGGGCAGCATGAATGGCCGATGTGAAGTCCCCGGTAACCTCTTCATGGGAAACATCAGAGTGCTCCTAGAGACCAACCCTGCCGCTCGCATTCCCTGGGGTTCTTATAATGTGACGTTCTCTGTGTGCGGCTTTCCACTGGGCT